GTGGCCTCACCAGGGTAGAGGAGTGGGGAAAGAGGCCACACTCTTCCTCATGCACCCCAGGATATCCCTGACACATGGCTGGCTCATGGTCTTGTTGCCCACCAGGACACCCAGGTCCTTCTCCACAGAGCTGCATTCCAGCAGGTCAGCTCCTAGGCTGTACTGGCTGCATGGAGTTATTCCTCCCTAGGTGCAGGACCCTACACTTGCCTTTGTTGAACTTCATTAGGTTACTCTCCACCCAGCTCTCTAGCCTATCCAGGTCTCACTGAATGGCAGCACAGCCTCCTGGTGTACCAGCCATTCCTCCCAGTTTCGTACCATCAGCACACTTACAGAGGGTACACTTTGTCCCTCCATCCAGGACATTGATGAATAAGTTGAATAAGACCGGATCCAGTATTGGTCCACCATACAAGCCTGCATTATATAGTGGAAGCAAATTTCAGATGGCTTTTTTAAGGGTGAGTAAAACATCTGAAGTATTTTCGTTCATCTTGCTATTGCTCTGCATTGCTTACAGCATCCCCAACATCTAGAGATGTAAATATAAATGCTGGCAGGAAATACTTAATTCATAAACTTAATTAGAGGGCTCTGAAAGCTTCTATAATTACTGCAGCAATGGTAGCAGGAGGGTAAGCTATTGCTGGTAGCTCGAAGGCTTTTGTTCGTATTAAGCAGTAGCAAGAAATTTTCCCCACAGGAGAATAAAAAGAACAAGTCAAGTGTATTCTGTATTAAACTAATAAGCCACCTAGCATGGGGTTGTTTTTTTTTCCCTAAGTAGGCTAGAGGCCTCTTAAAAGCACTACATCTTGCCTTTGTTGTAAGCACCCAACTGCACAAAGACAGATCTATGCTGTGTGCTTACTACATCCATTTTCTGCCTCTGCCTATACCTTTCCAGCAGGCTGCATTGCTGAAAGCTCAGCTGTGGGACACCTGAGAACTCCCCTATGCTGGTTCACCAGGATGGGGCCAGCACCAGATGATGTAGATGCCAGGCTGTGATTTTGCTCTGAACAGGGTGTATATGCAGCTCATGCATTAGAGGAACATCACTGACAGCATCGCTTCCTTTTTTCTTTGACATATTAAGCTTGCCAATGATTAATGCATAAGCTAAAAAAATCCCATCAACTAAACAAAGAGTGTATGAAACAAAAACTTTAAACAAAATTTTTATTACAACTTATGTAACATTAATGAAACTTATGCCACATTACATGTGCTAAGGTATGTACTACTTAGTGAGTTTATTCATCACTATCATCTTGCTAAACAAGATGCAAGCAGTGAGTGATTAAACAGCCCAGTGCCTCAGTTTGAAAAATCAAACGTGCAAACAACATCTCCACATGACTCTCAAAAACGCCCTTTCTTAAGCCCTAACAAGCATTATGCAGCAGGGAAACAGCACACCTTAAATAAAACTTCACTCCTCACCAGAGACATGCTCTTCAGGATAGTAGGACAAGAGAAAGGACAACATGACATTTTTCCTACAGATGGGTTAAAAAGCTTTTGCTTTCCCACTGCCGAAATAGGAGGAAACAGACACAGTGGAAATGGAGCAGATGAACAGTTGTGTCGCAAAGGTGTCCAGACCACAGCACCTTGAGCTACACATTAGATTGTGTCTACTCTTACATCAGCCTTTAGTTCAGGCTCAATATGAGCACTTTGAAACATTTGCAGACTGAATAATAAGGGTTTTTTCTTACTCGGAACAGATACTAAATAACATATTTTTTTTTTCTCTGCTTTCCAGAGCTTGCTTCCCTGGGGGAGAAACCACCATACTTAGACAAAAACAAAACCAGGGACAGAGTTGCCTCCCTACACATTCAGCCCAGCTGCAAGTCAAAGGAAAGTATGAGTTCATGTTGGCAAACATTTGATCAAGGGTTTTGTTGGATGAATGTCTCCAGGGTTTTTGGTCTTGCAATGAGTGAAGAAAGAGCATTAGTCTCAAATTACAGAAGCACTGTTCCCCTTAATAAGGCAGTAATATTTACTTCCCTCCACATCAACTCTATAAATTATCAGTAGGAAGAAGGAGGGGCAGTCTTCTCACCATAGCATTCAATCACAGGCACAGCAAGATGCTTCAGACACCCAACACAGTTACAATACAGAGCCACATCATTCCATAAAATCCTTTGGCAAGACTGGTCCCGATCACTGCATGACAGCCAATTTGTTGTTTTGATGGTAGTTTTATGCAAATAAAATTGGTTCTCTGAAAACAGCAGCTCATACATCCGCTTACTAACGCTGTACCATTTAAATCTCAAACATACATGCTCAAAATTCACATTGATATTTTAGACATTATCCTGTAATATATAATTAAAATGCAACTGATTACATAGCTGATACTATTCTTTTAACTGAATCTGTTTCTAGATAATTACTTGCATGCAACCCTGGGCATACGTTTCTGCTTGGAACTAAAATTAATTCTCTTTTCTACTTTTCAGCCAGGATCTAGCCTGCATATTGTCAGCACCTTTAAGTACCACATCTTTCTGTGTCTGACTGCTCACAAACTCCCTTCACGTTGAAAATGAAGAGGAAATTTCCAGTGAACAGGCCTATTACTTTCTGAGCACAAGCCTGAACCACAAAGATGCTCTGATAACCCAAGAGGAGTACGTAGTTGGAAACATGCAAGGAGAAAGAGATACAAAAGGGTTTATCCCTAAGGTACCACTATGGAAGTGAAACTTGAATTAGTAAGGTCAGCTCTGAAGCACCTCACTTGGTGCTTGACTGAGTAAAGACAATGTTGTTTTTTAAACTGAAACCCAAAGCAAGCAGTAAATAAGAACAAGATGCTATCAGACAAATCAATCTACTGTCAGCTTCTTTCATTACCAAGGGAGAGCCAAGGCCAACTTACTTACACTCTTCTCAAATTATCCTCTTGCCTGGACGTTACCGCTACCCTAATGTTCACAGCCAGATTTAACCAGTCCCAAAGTGTCTTTAAGCAGACAGCCAAGCAAATGGGAACCTCTATTTCTTCATTATCAGAGGAAACTGCTTCTAGGGTGTTATTAGACTGTGGAAAAAATAGGTCCCAGAAGCAGGTAACAATAAAGAAAATACATTGCAGTTCCCTAAATCTGCTGCCTCACTTTCAGATTATCCAAGCCCCAGCACATGGACATCCAAGTGCATAACCAGCACCTGTAAGTTACATAAAAAGCTATTTCACTTTGCTACAGGTCAGAGCAAAACGTGGTCAGCATGTAAGGCAAATGCTATCTGTTCTCCAGCCTTCATCCAGCACAGATGTTCACCATGCTGGACTGTAAGATCCTAAGAGGGCAGATGACTATGCACAGTCAAGCACAGTATATCGAATACTGACTGTGGCTTTTCAATACTGCTGTGTGGTGACTGTCCATGACATCCAAACGTGTTGCAATTCAAGTCCTAGGTGCTGAAGGACAGAAAAACAGAAGGTTGAATTCAGTGAAGGGATCATCTTTGGACCTTTTATCCTATGTGATATCAACTGACTGTGGAGTGCTCAGGAACAGAGGAACAATTAGCAAAAATTATGTGGGATTCAGCATTTCGTCCCTACGAACGAATCTTGCGTATGTAAAGCCTAAGGGATGAGTGTGATAGCTTGACAAGATAAAAATGACAAAAGTGAGCACATGCAAAGTAGACCACTATAAACCAGAGGGAGAAACATTTGATATTTTGCAAAGAATATACGTACTATACTTTCTGTTTGGTTGGGGTTATTTTTCTTTTCTTTTTTTTTCCTTTTGAATCACAAAAAAGCAGACGCGTTTGTGGCACAGGGAAGAGAAAACAAGTGTTCACAACATGCTTTGTAGTTTTATGTATCAAAACTAACTGCCAAAATACTACCTTCCACTTACTTGTTTTCAAGCAAAATCTTGCTCTGCTGCCTGGGTAACCAGAACACTTGTACACTGCTGATGACAGGGGCCCCAGGTATTTGATCCCCTTATGTCTTTACCTTTCCCTTCTAAACACAAAACAAGACAGGGAACTGCATGGGTTCAGCCCACACTGTGTTTATATAAAGCTTTAGATACCTTTTTTTTAGCGTTGAGGTTTTCTGGAAATCCTGACACTGTATGTCAGGTACATCATTTGGCAATGAAGGGATCAAATGCTGACTTCCCTTTGGAAACACAAAAGCTTTATTTTCGTATGATGCAGGTGGAATGAAAATACTGCTAAAAGGTGTAGTACCATTATGTGCCCCTGGTGAGATGATGGAAAATTAAGTAACCTGCAGTTATCTGCATCAAGAAGCTGGTATGAGCTGCTAGTTCTTGGGCCAGAGCTGCCTTTACTGTACTCCTCCATACCAGTGGGACTTACGGTGCGATTAATTTGGTCTCTGATTTCCATAACACGTTGGATGCTATGTGGCTCCTCTTACGCAAGCAGACAAAACTAGATCAGAACATGCTTAATGTTTTACCAACATGTATCATGACAGCACAAACATCCAGAACAGCCGCGTACCACTGTAGGAAGGACCTAGGGTTCAAAAGGGGAACAGAGTAAGGCTGTTCGAAAGAGGGGGAAACACATGCTCGGTATGCAGACAAAAGCACAAGAGTGTCTCCTTCTTTTAGAAATCTGGAGATGAGTCTGGAAGGGAAAGGTCAAAGGAGTTTCAAATGGGGTAACTCATGGGGCTTTTGTACAATCATAAAGAAGCAGCAAGGAAACATGATTACAACCTATTTCCTGGCCTATCAGTATAAAAGAAGAGACAATACTTTGTCTGTAGACATTAAAATAAGACTACTTAAAAAAAAAAATAAATCTTTCTGCCATTACAGAAAAAACACTGCAATGCTACTGAACAACAAAAAGCTCACAAGAGAATACATCAAATACATCATTTCACTTAGACCCCCACATGCCAGTAGTAACTAAAGGTGAAACAGGAAACATTGAATAATATATACTTAATAGTCTAACATGCTCACCTTCCCATCATAGCGTTTCACTATAAACTGATCCAGGCCCAGGTCTGAAAAAGAAAAAAAAACAACAAAACAAACATGCTCTTAGAGTGTAAAAGTAAGCATTTCTTTGGTTTTCTGTTTGAGTGAGGATTAGAAAGCAAAATGCATTCTCTGAATAACATCAGTAGAAAGTATAAGAACAGAAGGAAATTTTTTTTGGCTTTGTGCAATTTGTATCTTGTATTTTGATTATGAAAGTCAACAAACTCATGGCATCAGAGAAGAAAACCTCCTTCTGTCAGGGACAGTAGGAGCACGGCTCCTAGCACCTCTCAAGAGCCTGAAATCCCCATCCCAAAGTAGATTTCTGCTCTATTACCAGGCAAACATTTTGCCCATGATGCCCCATGTAAATGCATGTTCATAAAACTCTTACTGTTTTTAGTAACACCTTTTGAATGGCTCACAAATGGGAAAGCAAAGATTTATTCCCATAATTAATAAGGGTATTCCCAAATAAATCCAAAACTTGCTCATATTTTAGTATAAAATTGCTAATAGATTTTGAAGGAGGTAAGTTGTGTCTACATTTGCAAGAAGGTGAATGCTTTAGCTGGAAGGGCATTTTGGAGAAAAGCAGGAGAAAGGGTTATTTATACTAGTAAATTCAATCTTTCATACCATTACAAAATGATTTTTCTATCTTGAAGAGGGGAAAAAAATCCCAGCATTTGCAGAGTTAAGGCACAGAGCTCTCGATCTAATCCACAAAGCCCGGCAGGCTATATGTACACTCATGAATGCACATATAAGCAAGATGACAGAAGTATTCAGGAAGATTAATTATCTGAGCTTTGAAATCCAAAATCAGGAAGATTCACCACCCTGGGAGGAGATTAAGCAGAACTCAAACTGAGCACTTCCAGGCCTTTGGGAGAGCATGGGCCGATTTTTGGTTCTCTAAAGAATAAAACTGTTCAGCAGAGCTACGTTGCATGCATTTTCTGCCACTGTTTATGATAATTATCACATCCTCATTTCAACTTATATTAGAAAAAAAGAGGGGAAAAAACCCTATAAAACCTTTCCCATGCCTGCTGCATCTCCTGTTCATGACAGAAGATAATAAAATCCTTTCTGTCTATTGGAAAGGTTCATAATGGTTACAGTATAGAAAATGGAGTTGTTAATCTCTCCAGGGTGACCTCCTTGACCTTTCTGAACCAAAGCAGCTAATACTCCTCCATCATCAATTCAAAGGTCAAGGCAATTGTCAAACGGTTCTGTGGATTTGTGAATATTCAAGCCAGAAAGCATCTTCTCAGTATTTTGTGTGCCCAACAGAGTGAAAATTGCATATTCATACACATATTCAGACTTTAATCATCATCTTCTGAATTCTGTCCTCCTCAAAGATGCGGGTATAAGTGCAGTACAGTAAGTACTGTCACATTTAGAGGCAGGATTCATTTGATAAATGTGCCGATTTTACCAGAGACGTTATCTGGCCAGAGCTCGTCTCTGACCATCCATTTCGATGCTTAGCTTATGTCCATGTGTCATAATAAAGTAATTACTCAAGAACACCTCCTGTTGCCAGGAAATAGTGCTGTAAGACATATCCCGACTTTATACATGTACTCACATAAAGCTAAGAAAGAACACAGGTTAAAAATAGCAGTGAAAGTATGTCTTAATGGCACCCTCTTGCCCCTCCCAAATGGACACTACAATTGGTAAAGCAAACAGGTTTCACAGGAGACTCAAAATGAATGGATGCTCAAGTAGATAAATAGCAAGAAAACATGAACTAAAACCTGCTTTTATATACATATAAATTAAGTATCATATATATTTCTAAATATAATTATTTATATAACGAAACAAATTATACACAACTCTGTATGTATGTATAGAAAAGTTAGTAAAACCAGCCAAACACCTAAAAAGGCAGAATACCAGTACCTGTACTAAAGGAAGAGGCTAACATTATAAACTTTGTTCTCTCCACAGATGTAACATGAGATGGGCAAAAGGGGAGGTGATGGGGGATATGACTGGAGGGGACTAAAAAGCACCACAATAGTTAACAGCATTAAATTACAATAATGATGGTGCAGCAAAAGAACACACTGATGAAATCAGGAGTTTTGAATACAGGGTAGTTTGCCTCCAGCCTCATTCACGGGGTCTGGTCCAGCCTCATTCACCTAAGCACAGAGACATCGGTTTCCATGTATTTCCTTGATTGCTATGGCATGTAAGAAAAAGACATGGAAAAACAAAGTGTCTGGGTAACCTGAGATTATGCCTGGCAGGAACAGTGATGGACCTTTACTTACAGACAGCTTTTCTGTAACTGCATCCAAACAGAAGAAGTTACCACGTCTGTCCCCAAGCTTCAGAGCTCCACGCATTTCATTATTTGCTGAAGAAACTGCTTAAAACACCATAGCAGTTACAGAAATGTAGTAATCATTACCAGTATCATGTCAGCCTTGTCTAACACAATCACATCTGACGAGAAACAAACATATAACCTTGGTTTATCCGTGTCTCTGAGATCAGGGAGAAAGACATTTATATGAAAATACAGCACAAAATTTTGTTGCTGCTGCTGCCGCCTTTTTTCATGTTACTGTATCAGCATGCCCTGGAAGACAGCACTGGTGAATGGAGTTAAACCCAGCTGAGAGCCAATCACAAACGGTGTTTCCCAGGGCTCAGTACTGGGGACAGCTGTTTAATATCTTTATTGATGACCTGGATGAGGGAATCAAGTACACCCTCAGCAAATTCACAGGTGACACCTAGTTGGGCAGGAGTATTGATCAGCTGGAGGGTAGGAAGGCTCTGCAGAGGGATCTGGACAGGCTGGATCAATGGGCCAAGGCCAATTGTGTGAGCTTCAACAAAGCTCAATGCTGGGCCCTGCACTTGGGCCACAAGAACCCCCTGCAACACGACAGGCTTGGGAAGAGTGGCTGGAAAGCTGCTCAGTGGAAAAGGACCTGGGGATGCTGATTGACAGAACTGCACATGAGCCAGCTCATGCCCAGGCAGCCAAG